AAACTGTAACAAATCAAGGAGTAAAGAAGGACAGCAGTGGTAGGACCATATGCCCTTGTGGCCTAGCAGCGACATATCAGTGTGGTCATGAGTTGACAGCTGACCTTTAGCTCATCCTGACTCAGTTGGACTGGTAAGAATATGGGATCAGAGAATAAAGAGAGAGATTACAATGGTAGCTTCCAAATCTATGGAGCATTAAATTCAATTGATATTAAATCAATGAGAGAACATTCAATCCAAGGAAAATAGCCAGTGCAGATGTTTAAAGCCAACAGATGGAATGTCTTGCTCATAGAAGAGCCAGAAGGTGGGAAGTGACTTGGTCAGATCTGCACAAAATCACTTTGGTGGCTGAAGGCAAGCAGACTTGAGCAGGCAGACCCTGCCTCATCCCAGGCTGTTCTAATAATAATGCGAATGTGAGATGATGAGGGCCTGTAACATAGTGGTGGTAGTGTCAGAGGAGAGAAAGGGGCCTATTCAAGAGATGTTGCAAAGGTAAAATCAACAGACTTTGGCAGCAGCTTAGATATGGGGGATGAGAGAGAGGGAGGAATCAGGATGACTCCTAGATTTTAAGCCTGAGGGACTGGATAGCAATAGAAAACCTAGAACTCACTTCCACCACCACGACTACCACCTCCTCCTTTTTATGGGGTTACAGACAAGCAGAGTAGATAGTTCCCTGTCCCCCACAAAACATCCTCATTGCTTATTACCAACCATTTATCTTTCGATAACTATATCTTTTTAAATCTTTCTTTGAGAACTTTATCTTTTAGGGTTTTAAAGACTTTTCCCATCTCTAGCAATCCCTATTGATACAAATATCTCCCAGAAGATTTAAGCTTTCTCAGATATTATTTGAGTTGTCAGCCATGGTCTTAGGCATGGCATAGTAAGAAAGAGCATTGATTTGAATTTAGGAGAGGTAAGTTCAGATATTAGTTTTGCACACAAGCTGTGTGACCTTGGATAAGTCCCTGAACCTTAGTTTCCTCAGAAATTAGCCTGGATAATCTCTAAGATTCTTAGCTGCTGTACACCATGTATGATCACCTAAATATCTGCCTGTTCACTGAGAACAAGACGTTACAGTCTATGAGGAAGGGTATGGAGAAACTCAAATGAAATAATAGATAAAGCACTTTGCAAGCCTTAAAGGACATACAGATGCCAATTATTGTTATTATCATCAGCCTAACTTCCTTCTTCAAGCCTTTTACTACACTCCTACTGAGCTCAAGCAATGTTTGTAGGGCAATGTAAGGGTGTGCTGGTAAATGTTTAGCAACTAGGGTCTGAGAGATGGAGGAAATTTTTTAAATTTATGCATTTAAATTTAATCTGAACTATGAACACTTTCTTAAGTCTAGACAATCAACAAACAATAATTCAAACTGACTTGTAACAATTGAATATTTCTGAAGTGTAAATACTCTCACTGAAAATTTAAGAATCAGCTCTCCCTACTGGTGAAAGCTGGCTAAAGCACACTGCTTGGCTACAGAATATAGGAAGGGTCCTAGGAGTGAGGGTCAGACAGTCAGTCAACAAGCAAGAGAAATTAATACTATGCTGTTATGTTAATGACTAATTATTAATTCATAATCCACCCTTTTCCTCTTATATCTATTAAAGCCCAACTCCTGAAAAGGTCAGTCTCTGTAGGGCATGGCTGAATGATGAGACCTCCAACAAACATGCTCCTTAACTAGGGTGGGTGGGATCCCACACAACTGGGAAACCTCATTTCTGTTTAAAGTGTAAACAAAATCCAATCTGAGTGAGTTCTTGCTGGGGGAGGAACCCCCTGTTCTTGATCCCTTCCATTAAAGCTTAGGGCACCCCAGCTCATGAAGGAGAAAACTAGGCAGAGAGATCCCAATGGAAATGGTTCCCCCTGCCCAAATGCCTTGAGACTGCTGAGTCTCGCAATCAAGCCACATTCTTAGCAGGAGGATCTGGAGACTTTTAGCCCACCTCCTCATTAAATGTCCATCAGTCAGGGTTGAGTTTCATGAGTCAAAGGACTTCCCTTTCAGAGGGTATGCATCTGATTAAAGACATTTCATAATCTCCTTTGGCATCTTTGGTTACTGAGAGAAACTGCTGACCATCACTTTATTGAGTCAGGCTAGGCTAATTAATAAATTGATTATTAATTATACAGAAACTCTGTATAATATAATGGGGGTTTTCATTCATCATACAAGTGAGGGTCAGGTAAAAAGAAGGAATTGCCACTTAGAATTTCAAAGTGGGAAGATAATTTAGAACCTGTGGTTTAATGAAGATGAGTAAGATATTTCAACTGATTACCTCCAAGGGAGGAAGGGGTCAAAGACAACTTGTGAGTTTTGAACCTAAGTGATACTTGATAGGGACTAAGATGGCAGGCAGACTTCTAGAGCTAAGAGAGATTTTAAAAATACAAAAACAGCTGGAGCAATTAGCAATCATGGTCCAACAAGGAACAACAACAACAACAACAACAAAATCCTCAGCAGGGAAGTGTCATGGTATGGGTGGCAAGCATTTTGGTCTCAGGACTCCATTACAGTCTTAGAAATTATTGAGGACTTCCCCCAAAGAGCTTTTCTTTATATGGATTATATCTATCAATATTTACCATATTCCAAATTAAAACATCTTAATATTATTGTGAAATTGTTTTAACCCTGCATCCCCCCTAAAAGGGTGAGCAGGATCCCTTGAGAACTGCTGGTGTAGTGAATGGAGCACTGGACTTCTAGTAAGGAGTCCCACCTCAAACACTTGCTGTGTGACCCTGGGCTAGTCATTTAACTAGTCATTTAACTTTTCGGGGCTTGTTTCCTCATCTGTAAAATGAAAGCATTAGATTGGATGACCCCAAGGTCCTCTCCAGCTCTAAATCTATGATCCTAAGTCATCTCCCCCGACTTTTCCACTCCCAATGAAGGAATTACCTTCCTCTGCAGCTTCCTTAGCAAAATGACCTAGCCTTTGCTTGAATATTTTCCAGTGATGGGAAGTTCACTTTAATTTTTAACAAATCCTACCAACTATTGAAATAGAACCTGATTCCCTAAGACTATCCCAACACTGAGCCTATGTTCTAGAACTCCCCAATTTTGTCTCTGGGAACCATCGTTGGAACCATTTGGAAATGATAAGCCATCTTAAGACAAAATCAAAATCAAATGGACTTTGGGTTTCTCCATTGAAGTCAACCCTGAATCTATCTCACCCTCATTTGACTTGCCTAGGACCCAAATCCCAGTACAGATGAGTTCACCCAGGAGAAGCAGAAATGAAATCACACAGGGGGCTGCTAGGTGGCACAGCAGATAGAGAACCACCAGCCCTGGAGTCAGGAGGACCTGAGTTCAAATCCAGCCTCAGACACTTGACACTTATTAGCTGTGTGACCTTGAGCAAGTCACTTAAATCCATTGCCTAGCAAAAACAAAACAAAACAGAAAGAAATGAAATCACGTGAAATCTCAGAATTCTAAGGCTCATCAGTGATCAAGTCCAGCCCATACCTGAACAGTTTGGAAGTGCTGGAATTAGAATCCAGTCATCTGATTCCATGTCCAAGGCTATTTTTGGAAGTTCAAAGCCTAGGATGGGAATACCAGGCTTCAAACTGGAAGGCCCCTCAAAGACCATCAGCTCCCACCAAATCATTTTCTAGAGGAGAAAACTGAGGCCCAGAGGGGAGAACTGATTTGTTCCATGTTTCAAAAATGGTAAGTATCAACCTCCCAGTCCACTACTCTTCCTCCACAACAGGCTGCCCTGGGAAGGGCTGGGAATCAGATGGAGATGGGAGATGGATATTCAGGTCAGTTTTTACTGTTATTGCCTGGACGACAGCTTATTCAGCTGGTCTGAAATGTGGAATGCATGAAGAGGAAATAATGTGAAATACAGTTAGGAAGGTCAGTTGGAACCAAATTGTCTATTGTACCCTAGCACCCTACTCTGAGAGGTTCTGGGACTCTGACTGAGGTGGGAGAGAAAAGTTCATGTTGGGTTTTTTTTAATTAGTTTATTTATTTTTAACATTCTTTTTTCTTAATGTTGAGCTCCAAATTCTCTATCTCCCTCTAGCCCCTCCCCTACCCATTGGGAAAGTAAACAATATGATATCAATGATAAACTCAAAGTCACACAAAACAGATTTCCATGTTAGCCATGTTGGCACCAAAACACACACACACACACACACACACACACACACACACACACACTAAAGAGCAAGAAACATAAAGCGAAAAAAGTATGCTTCAATCTGCTTTTAGAGTTCATCAGTTCTCTGAGTTGGACAGCATTTTTCATGGGTCCTTTGGAATTGTCTTGGATCACTGTATTGATCAGAGGAGCCAACTCTCACATTGGACCATCATTACAATATTGCTGTTACTGTGTACAATGTTCTCCTGGTTTTGCTCATTTCACTATGCATCAGTTCATATAAGTCTTCCCAGGTTTTTCTGAAACCATCTCCTTCATCATTTCTTATAGCACTTACAGGACTACTGTAAATAATCACATATCGCAACTCATTCTGCCATTCTCCTATTGATGGGCATTCCCTCAATTTCCAACGATTTGCCACCACAAAAAGAACTGTGCTAAATATTTTTGTACATCGAGGTTCAGGTCAGTTTTTACTACTATTGCCTGGAAAACAGGTAGTTTATTTTGTCTGAAATGTAGAATGTATGAAGAGAAATAGTGTGAAATAAAGTTAGGAAGGTCGGGTGGGGCCAGACTGCCCTTTCTACCCCAGCACCCTGCCCTGCGAGGTGCTGAGACTCGGATGCCGCCCATGAATTCAAGAAAACAGAAGCCACAGTTTAGGGAGAGGTCAGTACCACGAGCCTTCCCCCCGCCCTGCAGCTGGCCAACGACCGAGATGCCGAGTCCTCCCGTCTTCCTAGAGCGTCCCAGGAAGCAGCCCGGGGGACCAGGCTGAAGAGGCTCCGCCGGAAGGGGGTGTGGGCTGCCGAGAGTATACATCCGGCCGGACTGTGGCTGGGCTTCAGCTCGGGGCCTGAGCCCGCGTGCTTTGTGTTTGAGTCCTTTGGAGCCTGCTCTCCCCCCAGCCCACCCCCACAAAGCGCGCCCGATTCCGCGGGAGGGATTGCGCCTTCACCTGGGGGGTGGCCCGAGGGCCCCGAGGCTGCGGCCGGCGACGAGGACGAGGGTGAGTCCGGCCGGGACGGGGCGAGCCTCTCCTGTCCCCTTCCTCCTTTTTCAGAGCCTCTCCTTCCTTTTCTCCACATCCGCCCACTCGGGTTCCTGGTTTCCCGTGGCCCTGGAATCCCCTGCCTGGCAGGATTGGACTGGAAGAGGGTGAGGGCAAGCACGGCAACGATAGTAAGGGGCCCCGATGATGTGGCGGAGTCAGAAGGGCAGCAAGCACTTATTAAGCGCCTCCTGTGTACTGGGCATTAGGCTGAGATGCAGAGAGAGGCAGAAGAAAGACTGTGCCCTCAAGGAGCGCACAGCCTAACGGGGAAGACTAATTGTAAACAGCTATGTACAAACAGGATGTTGACAGGCTAAATTGGAGGTAATCAGCACAGAGAATGCACTAGCACGAAGGGAGATCAGGGAAGACTTCTCGCAGAAGGTGGGTTTTTAGGTGGGACTTAAAGGAATCCCCGAGGGGGAGACGAGGGAGAGCATTCTAGGAATGGGAAAATTCTGGGAGTGGGGACAGGGAGTGTCACGTGCAACCAGGAGCAAGCATGCAGGTGTCATTGGATGGTAGAGTAGTGGGAAAGGGATGAAGGTGCAGGAAGACTGGAAAGATGCTGAAGAGGCCAGGTTATGAATTCAGACCGTCACACTATAATGGGTGTCTCAGGCAAGATTTGAATGCATACCTTCCTTTCTCCAAAGCTGACCCACCATCCACTACGTTGTATGCCTGGGGAATTACATTTATTGGGATTCTGTCTTTTTAGATTCATCTCAGATCACTCTTTTTGCATACTGATTGTGTTGACATAGTCAGAGTTCTTAACATAGAGTCTAGGGCAGCCAGGAGGTGGCAGCCCTGGAGTCAGGAAGATGAATCTTCCTGAGTTCAAATCTGGTCTCAGACACTTATTATCTTAGTGACCCTGGGCAAGTCACTTAACCCTGTTTGCCTCAGTTTCCTCATCAGGCAAATGAGCTGGAGAAGAAAATGTGCAAACCACTCCAGTGTTTTTGCCAAGAAAACCCCAAATGAGGTCGTGAAGAGTAAGACATGACTATAAACAACAACAAAAAATATAGGATCTAGAAACTTGGGGCATTTAAAAATTTTTAATATTTCAGTATAATTGGTTTCCTTTGTAGTCTTGTATATTTTATTTGATGCATTTAACAACATTCTGAGGAGACTACAGGCTTTACAAAAGGGGTGCATGACATTAAAAAAAAAGTTAGGAAGCCCTAATCTAAATGGTTGCTATGGTTCCTTCCAGATTTGACATTATGTGATTCTAAATAACAGTGAAGGAAATGGCAGAAAGTTTACTAACAAATTTATATTCAGAGAGAGGATTGTATCAAAGGCCATAACCATCCCTGAAGAACAACTTACCAGACCAACTTAGTATTCCAAAGACTGATAGAAACAGCATTACTATGACTCCCTACATGGTGGTCTGCTTTAAGTGTTTTGTACTCTCAAATAAATTAATGAACAGTGATGAAATACGGCTCTACAGGGTCATTACACAGAAAATCCACCATTTTGTTGGTTAGTATAGATAACTAGAGGATTTTAGAGTTGGAAGGAACTTTAAAGGTAGACCATGTAGTTTCTCTCCTTCATCTTACAGTGTATACTTAGTGGAGTAAACCTATATTTCACTGAGACCTAGAGGAATAAACTTGCTTTTACAAGGTTACACAGTAAGTTGGCAGTAGAACCAGGCCTTTCTTGTCTCTGGTAAAGTATTAGATTTAGTTTATTGAAAAGAGCCCTGGACTTTGGAGTTAGGAGACCCGGGTTCAAGTCCCTGCTTGAGCACAATGGAAAAGGGGATTGTTATTAGAGAGATAAGGTTTCTGGGGGTACCATGGACAAATTCCACTTCCTTTGAAATTCAAATTCAAGTCAACAAACATTTATTACATACCTACCACGTGCCAGGCCTTTTCCAGGTGCTGAGAATATAAAGATAGAATTGATTGACCCTGCCCTCTAGAAGCTTATATTCTGGGTAATATAGAAGTAGTACAAGTACTCCATAATAAAAAATAGGGTGTGTTAGTGGGAAAATTTGAGGAAAGAGAATACTTGCTCTTCAGGAACTCAGAGAAGGCAACATACAGGAGATGGCACCTGAGCTAAACCATAAAGGAAAAGAGTTTTGCAAGGGAAAAATGAGGAAAGAGAGTACTCCAGGCATGGAGGATTGCCCCAGGAAATTTATGGAGGTGTGTGATGGCAGCTTAGATCAGTTTCTGGCGTTGCCTGGAAAATGCAAGTTGGGTCAGTTTTCTGAATTGTTGACTGCGTGAAAGAGAATGATGTGAAATAAGGGTAGAAAGGTAGGCTGGAGCAGATTGTGCTGATATTGCTTAATGCTGCCTGGCTTTTGCCACTAAACCATTTCCTAGGATAGTGACTGACATTTAAAGTTTGCAGAATGCTTCACATACGTTATCTTATTTGAGCCTAACACAAAATTATAGGTGCTACAGGTTTTGTCATTTTACCAATGAGGAAACTGGTGCTTAGAAAATGAAGTGATTTGCTCATGGACATACAGCAAGTGTCTAGGGTGGGATGCTATGATGGCTCTCCCACGCAAGAGGTAGTTGGCACATACTGATAACACCTGAGGGAAAGTAGAAGCTAGTCTTAGAAAATCTTGGAGAGAATATGATAGAAATAATACACAGTGCTAGGTTTTTTTTGGGTTTTTTTTTATCTCCCCTACCCCTTTGCTCTTCCTGATTTCCTTTAGGAAATGAATGAAACTCTGGTTCAACCTTCCCACCCACTCCCCAGCCTCTCTCCCCTTGGAATGAAGTGTTTATTGTTTTTAGTTTGGGATTCTTGCAATATCCATCTGAATCCATCCTCACCCTCCTGTAACATTAACTGTTCCCCAGGTCCCATTTGTGTACATCACCAGAGGATATGGCAGCCCTGGGGGCAGTACAGGAGCCACTCTCTGCTTCGGCCCACATCAGCTTCCCATCACCTGGATCCCATGCAGGGCCTCCGAATCATGAGATGCTACTGTACCTCCAGGATCCCCAATACGGTACTCATTTTACCCCAGCCCACTCCCAGAGGTCTATGTCCCTCCTCTTCAGCCAGAGCCTTCAACATAGATTCCTTCATAAAGTCGTTGAGCTCATTTAGATAAAAAATATTGTAGAGGCAAGTTGGATTTTTCTTCTCACTGCAGATATATCTGCTTTACATTAGACAGTTTACCATCTTTGCTGATAATCATTTTTTGTTTATTACAGGAACTGAAATAAGGATACTTGTGAATTAGAGTTGTCCTAAATTTAAATAAATTTATTTTAAAATATTTCTAGATGAGAGTTTGATACTTTTGGTGATCTGTGATTTCATTAGTGGGTTTGCCTAAATCTGCCAGTGCAGATCAATGTCAATGTCAGTCATTTTTCATCTTACTAGACTCTTGTCCATACAGTCCTTCATAGATTACTCACATGCCTGTAGCATTTTATGATATATCAGATAATACATTTAGAGGTAGAAGGGCTCAGAGAGATCATCTCCATCCCCCTCATATTGCTGATGCCAGTTACGGCACCTGTCTGGGCCCAGAGCGGGGACTTGGCCAAAGTCAAGCACAAATAGCAAGTGGCAGAATCAGAATTCATGCCCAAGTCTGCTGACTCCAATCTTTCCGCGCCCAAACCTTTCCATAATTTTCGCTCTCAACTTTTCAGAGTACTTCCATTTCAGTAACAAGGTAGGTAGTAAAGTATAATCTTCATTTTACACTGAAGAAACTAAGGCCTAGAGAGGTCTGGTAAGTGTCAGAGCCTAGGATTGACAGCTCCAAGTCCAGTATGCATACCACTACCCCACACTGCCTCCCCAGGGGAGGAAAGGTCCTCCTCTTACTCTTTTTGTATCAAGGATACAGTTGTATCATTTGGATTACTCTTCTGTTACTTCATATTGTTGGTTATGTGACCAAGCTTACATGCTTTCCCAAGTACTCTTATCTTCGATATTGCTTCTGCTTCTTGCATGTAGGTCATTGTTGGTAACATGTAGCATTTGCACCCCTTCTCAACATTTCCACTGTCTGCGGGTTTTCTAGTCATTTAAACTTTCCAGGGATTATGTTCCATACTTTGCCAAAGTGGTACATTTTAAACACGCATGAGGTTTTTACAGAAATCCATTTTTCCACTTCTTTCCCCTTTTGGTTATATGATCCCTATGTATAGATGTAAATACATATACAATATACAAAATTGGGAGAAACAACTAATATGTTGAATAATAGGATCCAAAAAATCTACAGGCTAGACCATTGGGCCAAATCTAATAATAATAAATTTAAAGTCCAAAGAGCCAACTACGTGAATACAGGATAGAGACAAACAGCTCTAAAACAGTGTGAAGAATATCTGAGCGTTTTAATGGGTTTCAAATTCAATAGTTGTAGCGATAATGGAAAAAGCATTGGATTTGGAGTTAGGGCACGTGCATTTGAATCCTAGCTTTGCCACTTACTCTCTGTGTCAACTCAAACAAGTCACTTTGTTTTACCTGTTTCACTTCTCTGGGCCTCGGTTTCCTCACCTGTAAGGTGAAGGTGTTGAACTAGATCAGCAGGTCTTAAGTTTCTTTGTCTCCCGGACCCCTTCAGCAGTTTGATGAAGTCTGTAGATCCCTTCTTAGAATAATGTTTTAAATGCATTAAAGAAAATACATAGGATTACAAAGGAAACCAGTTATATTGAAATGCAGTTATCAGAGAGTTAAAAACATGTTCATGGACCCCAGATTAAGAACCACTGGACTAGATGATTTCTGAGGCTCCCTCCAGCACTAAATCTGTGTTCCCAGAACACTATGACATGACTGCCCAAAAATAAAAACCACTATCTGTATTAAAATGAGGCATAGTCTTCATTAGGAAGGAGGTGTACTCACTGTGCTTTTCCATGATCCAACCACACTAAAGTGTCAGTTCAGTTCTAGACAGACTTTAGGAAGGACATTAACAAGAGAACAGGTGACCAGGTTAATGACAGGGCTATCATCGATGTCATTTGAGGCTAGGTCGAAGAAACCAAAGGTATTTAGCTTGGAAGAGAAGATTTTTAGGGGGATAGCTGACTTCAAGTTTTGGAAGGCTGTCGTATGGAAAGAGACATTAGATTTGTTCTGCTTAGCCCCAGAGGGTAGAACAAGAAACTGGGTAAAAGAGAGAAGTAGAATTCACTTCCATGTAAGGAAAAACTTCTTCACAGTTGGTGTTATCCAGAAGCAAAGCAGGCTGCCTAAAGAGGTAAAAAGTTCCCTTTGAAGTGTGGCGCAGAGAAGTGCCAGTCAGAGGGAGAGGGGATTCCTGCTTGCATGTAGACAGGACAAGGTGACTTCTGTAGTCTCTTTCAGTTCTGATTCTGACTCTGTGTTGCAGTCTTGGTGGGTGGGTGGGTGCACCCACACCAAAGAAATCACTTATCTTTTGAAGTATATAAAGTTGGATCCATTGTGGGGGCCACAGAGCCACTGCCCTCTATAGTCCTCAGCCTCACCTGCTTCTCTCCTTCTGGAGGACCTCTATCTCATCATAAATGCAGATTAGTTAATATTATGCTTCCCACTGTCTATCTAGGCTGCTTAGTCTATATCATTAATAACCCGATAGCTCCTGGCCCCAGAGCTGCTCTTACCGTTTATCCATTTCTTTACCCATGAAATCTTAGGTTTTGATAACCTTGAGCCATTACTGATAGTCAATTTAATTCAACAAACATTTATTAAGTACCTAAGCACACTCTAGCATTAGGGGACATCAAAAATTTGGATAAAAAGAGGAACCCCCTTCTCATCAAATTCACATTTCTACTAGGCAGATAAGACACCAACATGTTAAATTGTAATACACAGTTGTGCAAGAAGAGGTGCTAATAAATGCATGTGAAGTCCAAGGTAGGAGTTCAGAGTTTCTTGAGTTGGGGTCTGGAGCTATGATTTCATCGGTGTAAGCTGCTCGAATTTGGAAATTCATTCCACCAGTGTAGATCAGCAGTTTAAAGTCTTATACAGTTACTTGGATCTCAGAGCTCTGTGACTTACTTTTGGTCAGAGAGCTGGTATTAGAAGAAGCAACTTAAACCCAGGTCTTCCTAACTTCAGAGTCAGCTCCTTATCTACTTCAACATGCCACCTCTTAGAAGACTGTTAATAGTGAGAAATCAGAGGAGGCATCCCGGAGGAGGTGGCATTTCATTTGAGATCACAGAAACCCTTTAATTTTTCCAAATAGGAGACCTGATGCACAAATTTACAAAACTTAAGTCACATTTATTCGTGGTTTACAAGGCACATTGCCTTGACACGCCTGGAGGGTAGATAATCTAGTGATGGGAAAGTACTAATAAGATTAATTTCATACTTCAAGGATTCAATTCAATTCAACACATTTACTAAGCTCCTGTTTTGTGCAAGGTCCTGGAGTTACAAAGACAGAAAAGAAATGTTCCTGGCCCTCAAGAAGCTTCAATTCTCCCGGTGGGCACACATCATTTACATAGATAAATAGAAAGTAGATACAAAGTCATTTCAAGAAGAGAGTGCTAATAAATGGGCTATGGATGGGGAGGGGAGACAGCCTATGATGCAGGGGCAGAGGAACAGGAGATGCAATGTAAACAGACCGATTGCCTGGAATGAAGAGCAAAGGGGGGCAAAGGGGGTAAAGGAACAAGCACTTCTTCAGTGCCTACTTAGTACTCCGCTATGTGCTTTACAAATATTATCTCACTTGATCCTCACAGCAGCCCTGAAAAGGGAGGTGCTGTTATGATCTCCATTTTACAGCTGAGGCAAAAACAGGTGGAATGACTTGCCCAGGGGCAGACAGCAAGACTCAGTGACTCCAGGCCCAGTGCTCTGTCTGTTGCATTACTTAGCTGCCCATAAAGAGTAGTGAAGTGAAAGAAAAAGAGAAAGGTAGGCAGAACCCAGATTGTGAAAAGATGTCTATTTCAGACTAGTTTTTAGATTTTAATCCCAAAGACAGCAAGGAGCCATTGAAGGCATTTGTGGGAAGAGATATGATATTGTCAGATCTGCCATATGGATACCAGTTTGGCAGTTGTGTAGGAGATAGATTGGAGGGAGTTAGACTTGGAGTCAGAGAAACCAGTAAAGGGACTATTGCATTGGTAATTGCAAGGGTGATGAGGGTCTTATCCCTGATTTCATCAGGCATGGTGTGAAACCCCTCTTCATGCAATTATGTGAATGAATAATTCTTTATTTGGTAGCCAAGCTAATGTTGATGAGTCTCCTAGAGTGGATTTCAGATGACAGAATGATAGAAACAGTCTATCTCTGCGCCCATACTCAACTGTTTTCAGCTTGGTTAAAATTTCTAGAGGTTGAACTCCATTGGCACAGCCTCCAAGAGCCTAAAGGTATCTTCATGCAATGAGAAGAGGACTTTAGTAGAAAAATTAGGTTAACCAGGAGTCTATCTACATAACCAAAATATTCTTAAATTTGCTTTTTTTGCAGCATTCTTCAGCATCTAATTTCCTTATTTCACTTAAGGTATCTTTTTGTGTTAATGGGTATATGTAGCTGTATGTGTAACTTTGACACATGGTTGAAAGAGCCCTGAACCAGGAGTTAGGAGGCTCATGGTATAATCCTGGTCCAGCAACAACTAGATCCAACCTTGGACTAAATTACTTCCATACTGTAAGCCTCTAGTTCTTTCTCTGAGAAACAAGAATAGATAGACTAGATATAGCAACACAGTCTGCAGACCTGATATTGACATGGAAAACCACAAATTAGCATTATCTGTGTTATATTGTATTTTTATTTATTTTGTTAAACATTTTGCAATTGTATTTTAATCTAGTTCTGGTTTGTGGCCCCATGGCAGAAAGTTTGACACCTCTGGACTAGATGATCTCAGAAGGTCCCTTCCATCTCTGAAAGTCCATAGCTTTGATATGAAGTGAGTTATACTTGTGTTTTCCTGTTTTTCAACAGCTCTTCAGACTTCTCTCTCCATTGGAGATACCCAGTCTGACCCTACACAAGGGGTCGTGAATGAGTGTTGGTTAAGTAATTTGTATTCAACCAGTATTAAACACCTAGCATGTGCTATATTAGATGCTGTAAAAGAATACAAAAGAAAGTTTAAAACCCAGGACTTGTCTTGTAAGGATTTTAAAATCTAGTTGGAAAGAAAAGACATATATATTAAGAAAATTAATAAGCAGATATATGATAATCAGATTCAAAATATGTGCTAAAAAATAAGGAAACAGTAACACAGTGTTGGGGGGGCAGTATGAAACAGCAGAAAAAAGAGTATTAGCTCTGAAATCGGAGAACATGGTTTCAGTCCTCTAATGCTTACCACCTTTTTGACCTTAGATAATTACTGGTCCTTACCCTCCCTAGGGCCTCAGTTTCCTCCTCTGTAAAATGAAAAGTTGGCTTACATAGCCTTTGACACCCCCTCATACTTTAGCTCTGAAATCCTACTATGATGAAGTGGGGTGGCATTATTCAGGGAATGTATGAATGGAAAGGTCACTCTTGAAAGCTGTGGTGAAATTCTGAGGGGACAGCTTAATAATGATAATAGCTTGCTTTTTATGGTTATAAAGTATTTTTAGTAGGAAGAGCTGGGTTGAAATCCCAGCACCAACACTTACTAGCTGTGTGATGATGAACTAGCAAAACCAACCTCACAGGCCTGGAAGGGGCTCCCCAAATCGCAAAGCTCTCACATAAAAATATGAGTCATTATCTCATTTGAGCTTTGGTAGTGACAAATGGTAAGGACAAATAGGGAAACTGAGGCTGTGAGAGGTAAAGTGAGTTGCCCAAAGCTATATGACTAACAAATGGGAGAACCTCGACTTGTTCCCCATCCTCCTCCCAAGTCTAGTGTACTTTCCACTTGCAGATATGTTCAGTGTAAAGAAGAAATACTTACTCAAGGTAAAGAGACTAGGTCTAATAAACCGTGTTGAGAAATGATAGAAAAGAATTTGGAGAGGTACCTCCAAATGATACAAGGCTGAAACTTGAAAAAATAAGCTTTAGAAAGCTGTAACCGTATTGGTTTTGTGTGGGAAAATAATGTCATTTATTATTGATGTATTTAGAGAGATAATTTCAGAAGTGTTGGCAAGTACTAGGATAGGAAGATACATGAAGAAAAGGAACTGATTAGGGGAGTGTTTCATTTAGCTGGAATAGAAAGCCATCAGGGGAGACACAAAAAGAATAATGAAAAGATGATATGACCAAGACAGCACAGAATCATGGAAGCTAAGGGAAGAGCATTTTGAGGAAGTGATTGATGGTGTTGCCAAATGTGGTGGGGAGAGAAGAGGACAAATTTAAGAATCACCAAATTTCAAAATTAGAAGGAATCTCAGACCACTCTAGTCCAATCCAAACTCCAAAAGAAAAAAAACCTTTTTTACAGTATTCTGGACAAATGGTCATCCATTTGGGGAAGGCCTCCCCTTAAGCGTAGCTCACTATTTCATAACAAAGCAGCTCATTCTACTTTAGGATAGCTTGAATTGTTAGGAACTTTTTCATTATACCAAATTAAATTTGCTTCTTTGAAACTTCCATTGATTGCTCCTAGGTCTGTCCCCTCAGACCAAATAAAACAAATCTCATGCCTCTTCATATGACAGGCCTTGAAATATTCGAAGACAGCTCTGAGACACATTGTAATGGAAGAATTTTAGTAGTAACTGCTCAGATTTCCAAGGGGAAAAGGGAAGGAGAAAAATGAGACAAAGATAACTTCATGTTTAGAAACTGAAAGTACCATCCCACCAAATTGCTCCTTACTAGCTCATCTGAATTCCCTCTCGTTTCTAATAATGGTTCTCTCTCTCTCTCTGGCTTGAGCTTACCTCCAGAATTGTGCTTATCCTCAAATACCCTTACTCGTTGTTCTTTGTCTCCTCTAGTCAAAAGTCTTGTGTTATCTTGTCTGGATTCACATTACCTTATGTCCAAAACACTCGCCATTCCACCATAACATCACTCTTCTACTCTACTTTCCTAGCTTTTCATCAGATTGTAAAATAACTTTTAAAAGTTATCAAAGTCATGGGACCCTCTTGGACGTTACCATCAATTTGTAGAGGGAACTTAATAGCTGTCTTCCAAGTATTTGAAGTTTTGTCAAGTAGAAGAGGTTAGATTTATTCTCCACAGCCTGGAGAACACAAGTAGGAATGAGGGCTAGGACTTGCAAGACGAATTTCAGCTCAGGAAAAGTGGCCTAACATAGCTGAACAAAAGGAGACAGGTTGCCTCTAATGGTAAGGGGTTCCCCACAACTGGAGATCTTCAGGTAGAAGGTAGACCACTTGTCAAGGACATTATAGAAGGGAACCTCATTACTAGATGCACTAAACTTCTGAGGTCCCTTCCAACTCCATGATTCATGCATCAACTAGAGGATTGCACTACATGGCCTGTACAGTTACTTCCAAATCTAAGGCTCTTTGAAATTACGATTGGATAATTGTCATCTGTCTCCATCAATTTCCTTCCCCTCCTACTTCCAATGAGAGAACAGATGACTTTTTTTTTTTACTTTCCATTTATAATTTCAGATTATAAGACCAGGACTGACAACAAGTTACTGATCCCAAAGCAGGAAATTTCTGAAGAAATAGAATCTTGTGGAACAATATCAGAAATACTCCAAACAGATGTTCTCCAGAAACCCAAATTTGGAGAAACCTATGAACTTCAAAGCAGGTTAGATAGTCAGGTGGGAATCTCAGCTGAGAAGAGATGGAGAAACTCCCTTTCCCAGCAGAGAAAGACACGGGTCACAGTCATGCATGAAGAAACCCCTAGAGATGAGAGAGGCCATGAATGTACTGGATTTGGGAGAACTTTCAGCCTGAACTCAAATCTTGTTGTAGAGCAGAGAGTTCCTACAGGCGTGAGACCTCATAAATGTGATACTTGTGGCCAGAGCTTTGGCCAGCGCTCAGTCCTTATTCAGCATCTGAGAATTCATACTGGAGAGAAACCTTTTGAATGTAATGAATGCGGGAGAGCATTCAGCCAGAGATCTGAAATTATTAGGCATCGGAGAATTCATACTGGAGATAAACCCTATGAATGTAATGAGTGTGGCAAAGCATTTAGTCACAGATCAACCCTTATTGAACATCAAAGAATTCACACTGGAGAAAAGCCCTTTGAATGTAATGAATGTGGGAAAGCTTTCAGAGGAAGGTCAGACCTTATTCGGCATCAAAGAATTCACACTGGAGAAAAGCCCTATCAGTGTAATGAGTGTGGAAAAGCCTTTAGTCACCGATCTGTCTTTATTGCACACCAGAGAATTCACACTGGGGAGAAACCTTATGAATGTCATGAATGTGGCAAGACCTTCAATTGGAGCTCAAGTCTTTTCCAACATCAGAGGGTTCACAGTGGAGAGAGACCCTATGAATGTCATGAATGTGGGAAAGCTTTCACACAGCTTGCAGTTCTTATTGATCACTTAAGAACTCACACTGGGGAGAAACCTTATGAATGTCATGAATGTGGGAAGGCCTTCAGTCATGGCTCAAACCTTCTTCAGCATCAGAGAATTCATTCTGGCCAGAAACCATATGAATGCTGTGAATGTGGAAAAGCCTTCTGTCACAGCTCAAAACTTATTCAGCACCAGAGAATTCATACCAGAGAGTGACTCAATGTAGTGGGGAATTCCCAAAAATTACTTTGGTGTAAGACCCTATTAAAGATGATAAGTTCAAGGGCAGGGCCAATTTTTGTCTAACTTTCTCTAGCACCTAACCTGGTGCCACATGCAGAGAGTTTAATAAATGTTTTTGGTTGGCTAAAATGATAAATAACTTTGAGTGACAGTTACCCCAACTGGTCATCTCCCCGCCAGAGAATATACAGCTAAAGTATTCCTTGGAATCATAGGAGGGTGACATTCCAACTTCAGAATCATTTATTCTCTATCAAAAATTGATATGAATTGGGCAGGGCAGCTCTACTGCTTTCCTTATGGGCCCCACTGAGAGAGAATGATACCACCCCTATCCGAGGCAGTTTGGAAGATAATGAGCCTAGTTTTTGATGTTTTAAGTTAAGTTCTGTTGATGGGATATTTAAGTGAAGGTGGCCTACAGACAACTGGATTTATAGAACAAGGCTAGAGACACAGTTAAAAAGAGGCAACTACAGATAGGGGGTACCCATATGGTGGAGTCATGTGAGTGGGTTAGCTTCCCCAATATATAGGGTAAGCAGAACATCCAGAAGAGAATGAAGAGTTAGTGATAAGAGAGAAGGCTCAAACATCAATAGCTAACATCACACTTTAAAGTTTGCAAACCACTTCACATGTATTATCTCATTTTGATCATCCCAACAATCCTATGAGGTGGGTGTTATTATCGTTACCATTTTATAGATGATACTGAGGCTAAGAGGTTGTGACTTACCTAGGCTCACAACTAGTAGTTTCTGAGGCAAGATTTAAACTGAGGAGTCTTCCTGACTGCCAAGTATAGCACTCTGTCCAGAAGAATTCACTCAATATAAGGAAAGATCAAGCAAGAAAGGAGAGGCTGAAAAGTTGTGTCTTGAAATCAGTTAATTAGCATTTATTAAGTGTCTACTAGATGTCACATTATGCTAAGTTCTGGGGATCCAAGAGTGGAAAGAATCCTGAGACAAAGGTTGCTGGGTTTTGTCCTTTCTCTCTCTTTTTTTTTTGGGGGGGGTGTTAGGCAGTGGGGTTAAGTGACTTGCCCAGGGTCACACAGCACGTAAGTGTTATGTGTCTGAGGTCACATTTGAACTCAGGTCCTCCTGAATCCGAGGCCGGTGCTCTATGCACTTTGCCACCTAGCTGCCCCTTCTCAAAGAGGATCATGACATCAGGAAAGTGATGGTGTGACATGCAAGAGAATTGGATTTAAATGAGGGAGGGCTGTGCTGAGTCACCTAGCTTCACTTTCACCTCTGGAGCCATCTGGGTCCAGTGGCAAGATCAGGACAACTGGAGATGGCTCCGGATATAGTGGGGGACCTTGGCCTTTTCAAGTTAAGGTCCTTAACAGGTCTCAGTTTGACTGAGGCAAAGTCTATTCAGTGATTAAGGCTTGATAAGAAATTTTTTTAAAAAATAGATCTGGGAGGGGAAGACCCTCAGGGTTTCTGGCCAAAACAGAAACAATTGCTATTTACCTTCACTCTGAGCCAATCAGGGCCCAAACCATGACCAATTAAGGCTTGGCCTGAGACCTGTTATTGGCCAAAAAGAGCCCGAGTGATTTGGGGTTTAGGCTGGTCTTTTTTTAAAAAAAAAGTTTCAGAGATTAAAAATTTCCATTCCCTTTGGCAGAGCACCCAGCAGGTAAGGGTGTGGTACTCTCTGTGGACTGAGGGAAAGGAAAGGAGAGAACGCTGTGTTGCCCACCTGGCCAGTTCCAGTTTGCTCCCCAGTTGGCAGCTCTTTTTCTACTCTCAGAGGTTTTCTCAAAGAGGACCATGACATCAGGAAGGTGATGCCATGAAGTGCAAGAGAATTGGATTTAAGCGAGGGAGGGCTGTGCTGAGTCACCAGCCTCACTGTCACCTCTGGAACCACCTGGGTTTAGTGGCCAGATCAGGACAGCTGGAGATGGCTCATGATGTAGTGAGGGACCTTGGCCTCTTCAAGCTAAGGTCCTTAACAGGTCTAAGACAAAGGGAGCAATTGCTAATACAGAATGCAGTAGAGAAGTCAAGAAGGATAATGGAAAAGGAGACCACTTGACCATATCATCAGAACCTTTATTCATTTCAGCATTCATTAAACACCTACTGTGGTTAGAGCACTGTCCTAGGCACTGGGGGAGATAAAAAGTTTAGAGGAGATATGCTTCCAGCCCTCACAGACTTTGAAGGCTAATCGAGGGATAAGACAACACAGTTAACTAAAATGCACATGAGAGAGGAAGTGACATTTGAAAATTATTTTTAAAAGGAGTGTAGGAATTCAGTGGTCAGGATAGAGTATTACTAGCAAGTGAAAGTGGGGAAGGTGAGATTGGGTACTTTGTTTTAGCTGGAGTTACTGTGAACCAAGAAGTACTGTGAGGTAAAGCTTGAAAAATAGATCTGTGCCAGACTGCAGGACCTTGAATGCCAAAGGAGTTTGGATTTTACTCAGTTGGTGATAAGAAGCCACTGAAGGTTTTGTTTTTTAAAAACAAAACCACATGACCATATCATCCTGTGAGAATTTATGAAAAAGATTACTCTGGCAACAGCAGGAAGTACAGACCGGAGTGGTAAGTAAGTGGACTTGGCTAGACCTATTCAGAGACTATTGCAGTAGTCAGTACAAATAGCAATGAGATCCTGCACACTAGATCAGTACCAGTAGGACTAGATGTGATGCAATGTAGAGATGGAATCAGCTAGATTGGTAGTTGGAGTTTAGATTCAAAGATAAGCCCAAGTTTACAAACTTGGTGAATAGTGTTATCAGTGATAGGTGTCAGTAGGAAGTGAAGCAGATTTAAGAGAATGACCATCAGTCAGCTTTAACGTTTAGAGAATCAACAGCCCTTGCCCAAGAAGCAATGAGGTTGTCAGGATGAAGTGTCAGACACTGTGGTATAGAGGAAGGAGCACTTTGGATGTGACATCAGAAGACTCAGATTTCTGTCTTGGCACTAACATTACCTGTGTGACCATGGTTGATAAAGCCTTTCTGAACCTCAATTTCTTAATTTGTAAAATGAGGATAATGATTTAGAGTTGAAAGGGACCTTAAAGACTATATAGTGTATAACCTTTTCTTTTTACAAATGAGGAAACTGAGGCTAGAGTTTAGATGGCTTACCCAAGGTCAGTAACCAGAAGAAGCTGGATTTGATCACCGGTCCTGTGACTCCTATCCTAATGCTGAACTGTCATCTTGCTTGAGCAAAAGTGAAACAGTGGCCCTACACACTGATGAAAGTGATTCATTCAAATGAGAAAGTTAAAACTAGAGTCTTTTTCTACCCTGAGTGAGTTAAGAAAAGCATACTTTGCTAACTTACTGTAGAAATGTAAGCTATTAAATAACATGAAATCACATTTTTATAGCAGGTCTCCAGTGCTTTATAAAAGAAGCTATGTGAAAAGATGGAGTTGTTATTCCTTATTTAAGGTTGGAAGCATGATAGAGGAAAGCGAAAGATAAATGATCTCCAGGTGAACGCTGGAGGGAACTGAGATGGGGAGTAAAGTAATACTGCCATATTCAAGGTTTTATTGGAGTGGACGTGAAGAAAGATAAATGGAGGTGTGCAAGGGGTCAAGGACTGGAGCAGACTGGGGATTTGAGAGAAGGATGTGTTTATCGTGGTGGGAGGAGGGAGAACAAATTGGTTGAAAGATAAAAAGCTTCTTAATATTAATTAGTTGACTTGTAGTTTTTACATTCTATTTGCTTCCCAAACCTGTAAGTGTGGATAGTACAGTTATTTCGATCTGAAGTCCCTTCCAGCTTCAAATATAGGGATTTCTATAATCCCCATTATACACAGGAGGGAAAGAAAGAGGTTAGGTGATTTGCCCAAGATCACACAATCATAAATGGGCTGGAACTCAAGTCCTGGTCTTTTCTTTCCATTGTCACACTCAGAAGCTACAGAGGAGAGGTTTGGTGAGAGGGGGAAGATAGAAGAAGGGTTCCCACACTTCAGCTCTCTGGTCTTCTCTTTACTCCCACTTCAGTTTCCCATCTGCCCTGCATTTTCTCATTTACTTTCCTTCCCTTTCATTTAATTTAACAATCATTGACCTGCAAAGGCCAAGGCACTGTGTGTCAGTGAGGATGGGGAAGGGACAGCAGTTTGTAGGACTTGAGGGGGACCTGGGTTTGGGCCCAGCTCTACTATTTAATTTTAATTATAATAATAGTTGAGATACAGCCTTTTAATGTTTACCAAAAAACACATAATTTCCTTTGAGCTTCACAATCCTGTCAAGTAACTGCTATTATTAACCCCATTAGACAGGATAGGAAATTGACTCCAAAAAGGTTCAGTGCTTTGCCCAGGCCACAACACTAGTAAACTATGGAGGTGGAATTTGAACTTAGGTGAGCTGCCTCGTGCGATCTTGGGCTGCATTAATAGAGACAGAGGGTCAGAGTTCGAGATGTGACAGCCCTGCTGTATTTCAGGTACAACGCTACAGGTGTGCCCAGTTCTAGGTACCACATACGCGTTAAGAAGGACAAGTATAAACTTGTTGGAGAGGTTCTAGAGAAGGGAGACCAGAATGGTGATGGAACTAAAAACTGTCACACCTGGATCATTTGAAAGACAGGGCAGTTAAACTGCTGTCATGGCCAAGTCCATAAGCATTTATTAAATGCCCCTACTATGTGTCTTTCACTTTGCTATGTGCTGGGAATACAAAGAAGGGGGAAAGGGGAGAGAAGAGAAATACCATTCTGCTAGACCCAGGCCAGCACCAGTGTGCGTGGCAGAGGCAGGTATCAGCCCCATCCAAGCCAAATGTGCCACCAGTTGGAGCCATCCAGAAATGGCATGGGCAGCCTCGCGGGGCTGGGGGTGGGGGGGTAGTTGTAGGGTTCTTCTAGCCAAGCCTGGAGGATAACTCGTCCCCTCCACCACCACCCCTGTCCCCACTTCACCAGGAATTACCCTCCAATGGCTCACATCCTTTCTTCCCTCCTTCTCTGCTCCTGAACTCCGCCCTCCCCCTGAGCGGGAGGGGACACGTGAGTCACCGA